CATACATACCAGCAATGGGTGGCCCTAACATAGAGGCAACTCCTCTGAACAGACTGAGCAGACCGAAAGCGTTTGTCAATCTATCGATTCCTAGTAAGTCGACCAAGATTATTGATGTCAAGCAAATATAAGCCGCTGTGTATTAAATAAGATATCTATTAGATAACTTCATTTGTAATACATTGAAATCTAATGAGTGATTCACTTACAGACCAAAAAGCCGAACATAATACTCGCTACTAATACTGATGTATAAGTGAGACAATACGGGATCGTAATGACGGATATTCCGCACAGAAATAGACAGACATTATTGATAGTGAGGGGTGTTATGCGAATGCCAGCAATGGTTCCGTTTCTGTTGATTATATCACTAATAACGCCAAAGCAGAGCCGACCGATTGTATTGGAAATACCAATCACTGAAATTAGTAGAGCGGCGCTGTCAGCCTTCACCAGTTCCTCGCCGTCTATACCATACATACGAGTAGTTTGCGGGGAAAAGAGAGAAAGAAAATACAGAATAAATAATTATGATATGGTTTTCATGTTTAAGTAAACACTCGAAATACTTTGAGGACTACTGTAAACCTATCATACATTTTGACATAAAAACTCTCAGGAATTTCCCTCCGACAACAACATTGAATGGGAAAGGGTTGGCATACCTCTGACTTGAGTGACAGCGAATTGAGTGATGTATACAAAGGGCACGTAGAAGCCCATCATCCCAAACATGTTGGACACCGACAGTAGCGTGAAGGCCGAGCTTTCCCTCACCAGCGAGAAGTCGAGCATCTCTTTGAGGATACTCTTCATCGACGGCGGGATTTTGAACCGAAAACAGCCCCTCTTTTCGGGTAACTCCGACTCATTTATGTCTTTGTTTTCGTGTTTTAAGCCCAAAAACGAGAGCAATTTCGCGCACAGATTGGGCTCTTTTTGGTCGGTGGCGTCCGCGGGATCCTTGCCCTCCGTCTCCATTTGCGCCAATTGTTGCTGAACTTTGTTAATGATATCTCTGGCGGGGATGGAGACCACACTCTGACCCATGTTGGCGCTGATGATGCCCTGGGACTCCGCGATTTGTTGGAGCGATGAGTTGGGCGGAAGGGTGAGTGTGGAGCCCGAGTAGAAAATGTCGCGCTTATAGATCGGCCGCACAATTATTGCTTGATTTTTATTGGCCGCCGAGTGGGTCGGTGTGCCCGACGACAGTATAACCTGAAGCGGTTGCGACGGCGCGGCTATGGCTGTGGCCGCGGACGTCGACGACTCGCTCATTGTCCGCAAACTCGTGTTTCGTCGCACGCGAGGAGTCGGATGAACGGTCG